TTCCCTGCTAATGATCTTCTAGACTCTATTATTAATACCTTTACTACCACTCTGCTGGACATTACAGTTAATTACTTCAGAACAAGGAGGTTACGTTGTCTAGGAAATTCCAATAAGTTTATCCTTGTCTAAGAAACCCCCACTGGTTTAGAAGGCTGCATATGGAATATCCTCCCGATACAGCAAACGTTGAAACACATCTGACTTTGAAAAATTCTGCCTTCCCATAGGATTTGGGGACCAAAAATTTGAAGATTTCAGTCCTTCTCTTAAAGGCATTTCATGGCCAAGATGAATATTTTATCTTCCGGCAGCAGGAAGAAAGTTTACAGGTCTGATAAAGTCTGTGGCGCACCGTGGCTTGTCTGAAACAGTTCAGCTCCAGTATGAAGATGTTTGTTTGCAAGGGGAATGTGAATTTTTCATACCTCATTTCAGAACAAAAATCAAGTCCCGCAGCTGGGCACCTCATTGATTTTTATTTCAACTACAAAATGCACTTTTTTCCTTGTTTTTCCTAAGAAAAAAGTATTTTTTCTTAAAACAATTTAAAAAAAATATTTACGTAAGAAATCCCTCAATAAAAAATGTCTATTTTATTTAGCTTTTTGGAGACACTTTTTGAAATTTTATAATTTTTACTATTAAATCACTTCATCCACAAACATGAATGTTTGATTCACGTCAAGGATCAATTCTGGACTGTAAATCTAAGTAGTGTTTCAGATGCAAAACAAAATTATTTGGTTTATTGACCCTGCAATTAGCACCAAACTAAAGAAAGCTGGAAGTGTATTACTTATCATTGTGAAACAAAGATAATCTGTGTGTAACTTGATGATTTATTTGCAATTTTAAATGTCTAGGCAGAGCATCAATCAGCTTTTTTATTTTAAAACCTCTGAAACAGAGGGGCCGAGTGCCTTGCTAACAGGATGTTGCATGAAGGAGTTCAAAAGAAATTATGCTTTGCTGTACAGCATGATCAGTGCAGTTTTTTTCCTCACTAAATATAATCCTAAGAGTCAAGATAAGTTGTTTTATATTGCCAATTTTATTATCATATAATAACCAGCAAGCTTTCATTTAAACTTATGTATTACATTTGTATCATAATCAGGAAAAACAGGGCCCTTCTTATTTTTCATTAAAATACACTGGCTTGCAAATCGTCCCATTAAGTTTTCCTAGCTGAGGTATACTACTCACATACTGATAAGCTTTCGTTCAGGTTCTTTTATTTCTTATGTCACCCTCCATTTTCTATTTCCAGTAAGATATAAGTAAATCCTTACAACCTGCAGAGAATTGTTTCAAAACAGTAAGAGAAATTCAATTAAAATGAAGAAAGAAGAAAGTTAAAATCAGTTTTATTTAATTGATGAATGCTTAAGATATGAAATATTTTCTATCTAACACTCCCTAGGAAGTACTGCCTAGCAACTTAATTGATTACCTCTGAAATCTAAGGAATTTAATCAGAAAAAACAGATCTTTCCCTTCCATACCTTATTTTTTCCTCAGACTGGAAAGGTGAGAGCAAACTTTCCAGTTTTAAACTACCATCCATTAATTTCTCAACTTAAAAAAAAACAGATAAGAAACTGAATCAAAGGGAATCAGATAAAAATATTCTCTCCATCCAAAAAGGACCTGTGCTGTCAAAAGCTGGTTTAACACTTGTACAAGCACTTATTCAAAATATTAAGCTAGTGATTTCCTCTAGTTCACAATAGTATGATTTTATAAGCTCTGCAGAAAATACATATTGCTTGAGTATTTTTAAATTGTTTTAATAAGCTTCAAACAGCTACTTGTAATTACATATGCTTATTCTTATTATCTGCTTTTCTATCATAGATCTGACAACCATGAATCACTGTCTGCCTTTCCAATTTTATTTTTCTTTTAATTTTAAACTATGTAACTATTGCCTACAGCTTGCAGATGTATCCATTCTTTTTAAAAGCACATCAGACCACACCCAGCTCCAAGGGCTCTGCAAGAGATGCTGCACAGCCTACTCAGTAGGAACAGGCTTGTGCTTGCTTATAAGGAGTAAAAAGCCGGAGTTATTTGACTGCAGCTGAGGGGCATGCTGATCTTTGCTACAGCCAGCTACCATTGATCTAGACTAACATATAAACTTTTCAGTAAGTCTCAGCATTTATAAGTTTTCTGCACATCTCTGATGTGTGTAGCAAATGGTCCGTTGCAAGTGTTGATGATGAGGAAGTTCTAGGTCTGAAGATCCATGCAACACAGTCAGTAATGCAGATGTACCCCAAAATGACCCAAATCCATTTTGAGTGTTTTCTCTACTAACTGAAATAATTTGCTACTTCTCCCTACCTAACAACTGCATATATCCCTCTCCTTTTTACTACAGCACAGGCATTTAAAGCCGTTCTTCTGCCAATTTCACCAGTTCCACTCATCTATGCTGTGCATTCACACCACTGACGTTCCTGCCTGCTGGAGGGAGACAACCAAAAATTCCTGTGTTCCTGTGAAATACTGTTATACAACTGTACTGATCTGGGCTGGGATAGAGCTAGTTTTCTCCATAGTAGCTAGTATGGGGCTGTGTTTTGGATTTGTCCTGAGAACAGCGTTGATAACCCAAGGATGTTTTAGTCACTGCTGAGCAGTGCTCACACAGAGTCCAGGCTTTTCTGCTTCTCACAGCACCGCACCAGTGAGTGGGCTGGGGGTGCACAAGAAGCTGGGAGGGGACACAGCTGATCCCAACTGACCAGAGGGATATCTCATACCATATGACGTCATGCTCAGCACTAAAAGAAGTGGGGGACATTTGGAGTGATGGCATTTGCCTTCCCAAATAAGTGTTAGATATGACAGAGCCCTGATTTCCTGGAGATGGCTGAACACATACCTGCTTATACTTGTGCGCACAGCTTTTGCTTTACCCACTAAACTGTTTTTATCTCAACCCATGAGTTTTCTCACTTCTGCCCTTCCGATTCTCTGCCCATCCCACTAGGAGTAAGCCAGTGGCTGTACGGGGCTGAGCTGCCGCCTGGGATTAAAACATAGGAACAACCAAACTTACTCTATGAAGGTAACAGATGTATAAACACCGTGTATTCCTTACCAACGTCCTTGAAAGTGCATTATTCACTACAATTAAAGACCACCTTCCTTTCAGTAATTTATTTTTCCTTAGAAACATAATTAAAGCACATAATTAAATTACTAGCAGTTACCTGACAGTCAGATGATGGAGCTAACAGGTTCAGATCCTATGACAGGGTAACCAAAACAGCTATTACCAACACTGTCCCATCCTTGACAACTAGCTTTGGCTCTAACAAGAGAGCATTTTTTTCAATTTTAAATTATTCAGTAGAGAAAGTTGTTTGTTATCTACTTTCTTAAGCATCAGAACTAGCAGCCAATATCCCTAATATTAGTCTTAATCAAAGATCCCACCCAGGCCAACTTTTAGACAGAGTGCAGTAGAGACCAAATTTAACAGAAACAAATGGAAATACAAGTCATTGACAATAGCTGGACAAGCATTGACAATAGCCATGGCTGTAGTCAACTGTTGGGAGTTAAATTCTCTGTCTGATCATACACTCAAGTTTTCCCTCCTATGTTCTAAAATTACAGATTTGATAGGAAAATAATAGTCTAATATCTGCACACAAAGCTTAAAATCACAAAATCACTTTGGTAGGACATCAGGTGTCTGAAATACATTTAGGAGCAAAAATCCAAATATTCACATTTATAAGGAAAAGCCTGGGTTTTGCTTTCAGGTATCTGTTAAATACAAGACAAATTTATTTCAATTACACTTTCTGGGTTTTGAGCAGGGGGTTGTTTGCTTTTTGGTTTGTTCGGGGGTTTTTTGTGGGTATTTTGTTGTGTGCATTTTGGTTTAGGGTTTCTTTAGGTTTTTTGGTTGGTTGGTTTTTGTTGCCTTTTTTTTTTTTTTAAAGCAGGGTCAATCTAGAGCAAAGAAATAGCATACCAACTTCAGCAGCTCATCAACCATAGCATCATGGAACTAAACCAAAAATAAATCTCATGTGGCAGTTTCTATAATTACCACTCATTTTTATTACATGTCAATCTTTAGAGTCGTGCAGTAAACAAAAACATTCAAATGTGTTCAGTTACATTTTCTAAATATTATTTTTTTTTATTTGATCTTCAAGTAAAATTGTGGACCTACTGTGCTGCAGTCTGGCATGCTATTTTTCCTGTGTGACTGCACAAAACTGCCAAACATAAATGCCAAGAACTAAAACCATGTATCAGATCAATCCACTATATAAGGTGTAGGGTTTTTTGAATACTGATGGCTTACCAGGTAAAGAGAAATAAAATTATGCTCTTTAATAAATACAGTTTATTCTTTCTCCTGTAAAAGAACTCGTCTGTAAGAGAGCAGCAATAGCAAAACATGATTTATGGGAAATTTTTATTAAATCTTATCTGTACAGGAGAA